ATCTGCTGCTTGGGTAACAGCCTATCCTCCACATTACCTTACCCGGGCTTCATGTTCTGGAGAGGACACTCCTCGATTCAGAGCATGTTACCATAGTCTCTTGAGACTGAAGGATGCCTATGATGACAGAGTTTTAATTAACTTTTCAGACTTCTAGTTGAAACATACTAGAAAGTATGAATCAGAGCAAGAAATGCAATTTGTTGGGTAAATCATTAGTACTTTCCCCGCTTATTATGTCTAAGAACTAACTTTGTAAGTCTTATGTCAAAGAATCCAAAGATTCTGTTCTTTTGGACTTATTAAGTGTTTGCATTAGGGGGAAAATCAAATACTGTATCTTTTAAAAATAAGACAATGGTTTTCTGTGACAATTAGCTGGCATAACTCACTTTATTCACTAGATGGAAGCAAGAGACCATGAATATAGCTTATTATGTCTAAGAACTAACTTTGTAAGTCTTATGTCAAAGAATCCAAAGATTCTGTTCTTTTGGACTTATTAAGTGTTTGCATTAGGGGGAAAATCAAATACTGTATCTTTTAAAAATAAGACAATGGTTTTCTGTGACAATTAGCTGGCATAACTCACTTTATCCACTAGATGGAAGCAAGAAACCATGAATATACTTCTATTTTGTGTTTTCTTAGCCGCTTGAATAGAAAGTGTATAATTGTTCAAAATCTTTCTCAAAATAAATTGCTTATATATGAGATTTGTTCAGACTACATCTGCAATAACAATGTTCGTGTCCTAGAGAGCACAATAACAACAAAGTATTGAAAGAATGTGCTTCCAATAATAACAGTTCTAGATGATTTGATTAACAGCTAACAATGTATGTGATTGGGTCATATGCTACCCACGTATTTAGAAAGACTAAAGATGCTTATTAGCAGACAGAAACCAGACTTGCAAATATATGAATTTATGAAATTTGACTGAAATGCTCTTAAGAAAGAAAAGAGTAGCAGACAGAATGTAGGATCATTTAATCATTTTGGGGGAGAGAAATGCTTTTTATCTTTTCCATTTTTATCAAGCAGAATTGCTAAAGGGTCTTTAAGTAGATGATTTTACAAGCACTATTCATTTATAGAAGTGGCCAAGACTTTTTCAACTGGCTGGGTAGCTCCGTGGTTTAGGTGGGAGAGCCAGAAGTTGGGGGTTCGATTCCAAATTGTCAGTGGAGCCTGCCTGTGCGATCTTGGGCAAGCTGCACAACGCTCGGACACCCCAAGAAGAAGGGAAGAGTAAACCTTTTCTGAGTCTGCTTTGCCTAGAACACCCCAGTAAGCATCACCCTAAGTCAAAACCAAGTTGATAGCATGGAATTACTAATAAGCCTTTTTTTATCGTTCTATTTTTGGCATAATAGTATTCTGCAGTTTTGATAATATTTATGGGTTTGCTTGGTAAAAGAAGAGAACACCTTCAAGTAAATTTGTTTTAATATAGTATTTTAGGTCAAGGAGAAGAGTAGTAGTATCACCCAATGTTTCCTGATGCCCAAACTTGCTTCCATCTTAGCTGCCTTTATGGCTGTCCTTAGCCTGAAATTTGTTCAGAAGAGGTACCTCATGACTTCTACCTTGACTTGATAGGTGGTTGTCTGGGGAAAGCCTGTGTTTTTCTCAGCAGTGGCAGTCAAGGCCAATAACTCCAGATTAGAGATGGGGGTATTCATATAAGGATATCCCCGCACAGCAGACATCAGGAGCCAGGGAAACTAGATGCTATCCCTCTGCTCTTTAGCCATGTCTGAAGACATTTCTGTTATCATTTTGACAATAAGCAGAGTATTTTCTTATCCTTGTACCAACGAGTGAGTTATTCTTCTGTCAGTTTGTCAATTAAGAGAGAATGTTGTGATTAAAGTGGGGTGCAGGTGTTAACGGCCATACTGTCCTGTCATAAAAGGCCCTGAAATCTTTGTGTGATGATGAGTCTCAGAAAAGGTCATTGTTGGCTGGCTCTGTACATGTCCCAGACAGAATAATGCACTACAGCTCCCAGGAGGCAGAAAGGGTCTTGGTCACTGCTTAGCTTTGCTTTATCCTTTGCTGCATTACCCTCACCTGTCCATCACAGAAGAACCGTGAAGAAGGAGCCAATCAGTGGACGGAACAGGGAGGGGGCTGGATATATAGACTGGTGTATGGAGTCTGGGAGAGATTCTGGTAGAGAGAGACTGTGTGAAACTTAAAAGTGAACTAAGAGAGAGTTAGAGATCTGTAAGAGCGCCGAATGGAACAGAGAGTTAATAGAGTTTTGAAGTTAAAGAGAATTGATTCAAATACAAGTGATTAGCAACCTGTGATTTACCTATTGAATATCAATCACATGTTAACTTCCCTGATCTAATAAATGAGTTAAGTTTTAAAAGTACACATGTCTCCTTGATTGAATGGTATTGAGGCAGCAATACCTGGTGGCAGTGAAGAAACAAGAAGAGCGAGAACCTCGTGAAGGCCTGGGGCTTCGGAGGAGATTGCCACACCTTCTCCTACTGGTGTGCTTATTGTCTCTTGAATCCAAAAATACCTTTTTCCCCGCCTGGTAATCTTTCCCCCCCCTTTCCCTCCCGGTTTCTGGTAGGTCCCAGAAACAGACTGAGCAGTAGAGGGGATGCCAGGCACTAGGGGATGTTGGCAAGTCTTCGGGATCGAGTCCCACTCCTGTGTCCGAGTCTTTGCTATCAAGTCCAAAGTCAAGTCCGGGCCTTTGGTGCCAAGCCCCAAGCCCTGGTTTTGAGCTGCTTGCCTTTTGGGGGCGGGGGCGGATATTCGGAGACAGCAGACCAACTTCCCTTCTCCCCGAGCCAGACCCTGCTTCTGCCACGAGCGGACAGCATCCGGCTCCTGCCTCTAAAGATGGTGGCAGTGGTGGGCGATGCCGTAGATGCCCCATGCTGCTGCCTGCCACCACTGCTGCTGCCCACTGCCTACCATGACCCGTGGCCTGCCACCACCGCTACATGCTGCCTGCCACCCCGCTGCTCATCACCTGCTGTCAGCACTGCCCAGGCCCTGTGGCCTGTGGCCCACCACTGCCAGCAGCCCACTGCCATTACTACTGGTGCCTCATCGCCAGCTGCCTGTGCTTTGTGGCCCTTGTGGTCGCTGTGCCCCATCCCCTCACCCCACCATCAGCCTGCCTACCCCCACCACCCACCTCTCCACTATCTTCAAAGCCAGGATTCTTTAGCCTACCACAGTCCAGCTCAGGTCCTCCAACCTACCTCTTTCTGTAAGAAAGTCCTTAATGATAACACATGACTCAGAGGTGATAGGTTAAGAATTACAAAACCACTTAAAGATTAAAAGATAGTGAAAAGATCTGTTGAAATGCAAAATGAAAACATGGTCTTGTTAAGCTTTTTGGAGGTACTTTCAGCACAAAATAACAGGCAGCCATTTGGACATTTTTCAACAGCTGCAAATCAGTGAATCAATACATTTGACCTATTGATTTAAATGATATGAATAACTTTGCAGGAAAATGAACACCCTCTTTTTCAGGCAATTTGAGAGAAATTTGTATTCAGCACCAGCAAACAGAGAAATCCACTCTTCCGAAAATGACTGCATCAGAGGAACATGGTTCCTGGAAACTGGTAGTTACACATATATACACATACATTTTAAAGTCTTTGTAGTGTTGTCAACCTCTCTGGCTAGCTGTGGCGATTCCCAGCCACCACTTGTGGATAGCTCAGTGGATTAGGTGCTGCTTTGTGCACGCGTGCCAGTGCCGGCGTGAGCACTCCCTCACCCCTTCACACATGCGCAGGAGCACCTGCACGCCTGCCCACACCTTCGTACGGGTGCATGTGTGAAGGTGGGAGAGCACTCACGCCAGTGCTGCCACGTGCATGTGTGTGCAAAGCAGCTGTGGAGAGGGGAGTGGGGGGGGCGGGAGGACTGTCTCTGTGGCCCGGTCCAGCTCAGGCCACAGACCGACACCAGGCAGCAGACCGGGGGTTGACAACCTCTGGTTTATGGCACTTACTTGTCCCTCATACAGGCAAACCCAGCCACCCTTCAGACACTCCACAGGGACCTTTACCAACCTCTCTCCCAGAGTTATATATGACATCTCAGAGTTCAAAACACTGGGAAATGGTCCAGTATTTCCTTGCAATATTGTGCCCATGCTGCCAGCAGAAAAAAAGGATGGTAATCTTTACTTAACAACAGACAGTTTGAATGTTGATGACACCAATGTCAGCAGTTGGGATGGTCTACAGGAGCCCCTCTTGGGCTCACTGCCATTCACTCATTGACCCCAAGGAAGGGAAAATCTCACAAGCTGACACTTTTTTTATCAGTTAACCACTTCTCACCCAAACACAAAGTGTTTGCCAGGGCTGTTTTTCAACTACAGTGGTGCCTTGCATAGCAACGATAATCCGTGCAGCAAAAATCGTCGCTATATGGATTCGTCGCTATGCCAAAATAA